GGAGCCCTCCCAGGACAGGGGGGATGTGTCCCAGGGGACTGGGCCTGGCGAGCCAGAGGTAGCAAATCCCCAAAAAAGGAAGAGCTTGTTCCTCAAGGCTGACATTGAGCAGCAGGGACAGGTTTTCCTCAGCACAACACTCAGGAAGTTCCATTATTTTTTTTTCTGGCAACAAGCTGCATTTCAGCTTCCTGCCGAGCCCCCGGCTGGCAGCAGAGCTGTGGAGGAGAGGGGACATGTGTGACAGCCCTGGAATGACTGGACCCAGCACAGGCAGGATGTGGTAACACAGAAGGAATTCTTTTCTTTTGGCTTTGATGACTCCAAAGTGTCTTCAATTATTGCAAACAGGTCTCGGGCTCGGTGCTCGGACAGTGGGGTCAGGGGGTCGTGGGCCTGGAGCCACGTGGATGAGATCCCAGCAGCTCAAAGCTCTTCCTTCAGCCAGGGAAAAGCTCTTCCCAGTTTGCAGAGGAGAAACAAGTTGGCCAGGGCTTGGACTCGATGATCCCTGTGGGTCACTTCCAACTCAGGATTCCAGGATGCTGAGTTGAACTTGCAAAGCCATAAAACATCAGGGAGGGGGAAGACAAAACCAGGAATCTCTTGGCCACATCTCCCAGCTCACACAGCACTGAGACATCAAAACCTGCCCTCCTGGCTGCCCACCTCAGCTCTGCTCTGCAGGCACCAGGTCTCCAGGCCCCCTCTGGAAGCACATCCCAGGGATCAGGACCAGGTCCATGGCACAGGGAAGGTGCCGGGTGTGGGGGAAGACACTGGTGAAGCCAGAGCAGCTCCAGATTCCATCCAGGACAGACCCAGCACTGCCATGGCAGGGGGGAGGTGCAGAGGTAGGTGAAGGCTGAGGCTCAGCCAGGCTGGATCCCCTTCCAGCACATCCCAAAACACGCCAATCCCTGCGTCGGGTCTGCTTTCCTTGGGCCTTCCTGGATGATTCTGGAGACTCACCAACTTCAGGGCACTGGGGGGTTGGCAGTGGCCCAGGGGTTGTGCTGCCCATTCCAACAAGGACACTGCTGATCCACAGCACAGGGGACACTGGGGGACAGGGGGATGCCTTTCCTACAGCACCCACTGGAGAGCAGAGGGCAAACTCAGGGTTGTGGAATCCTGGAATCATGGAATCACTGAGGTTGGAAAAGAGCTTTGAGATCACAGAGTCCAGCTGTAAAGAGCCATTGCCAGGGCCACCACTGCTCCATGTCCATCCTGCTCCCAGACAGCAGCTCCTGGAATGCTGTGAACACCAGGGCAGGGAGGGCCATTCCCACAGCAAGGATCTGTCCATCCCCAGCACCCAAGGAGTGCCAGGGCAATACAGGGTTATAGCAGTGCTGGAAAGCACGGGGGGTTCTGCAGGATCTCTGCACTGGTTCCTTCTCCAGCAGCATCTCCACACGTGTCCTGGGAATGCCCCAAGCCCTCCCTCACAGCACACGGAGGGGGGGGCAGAGTTCTCCTGCTGATCTCTGTGCTTTGGGGTGAAGGGGGCACAGCAGGTCCAAGGAGCACCATATCCTGGTCCCTCTGCAGGCAGGGAGCTGATCAAATCAGGGTGATGAAAAGCTTCTCTTTGTCTTTCCACTTCTCTCACCGGAGGAACAAACGATGGGGGAGGTGTCGCTAATTAAGGCCACTGCCCCTCCACTAATCACTCAGTTAAAGCCTCCAGAGGCCCCAGCACTCTGCCCTGGGCTGGGAAAGAAGCTGGAGCTGCCCAACTCCCAGCTGCAAAACATCTGGGTTACACTGTCCTCCTGGATTCCAGGACACTGTGTTTGGCTTCCACCAGAAGCTACTGGATGTTCCTCACTCTCCCCTCGGAGCTCTGCTGCCCTTCCCAGGCTTTCATCACGCTGTCAGTCCCTCAGCAGGAGCTCCACTGCCCAGTCCTGCCCCACCCACGGCACAGAAAACGTTCCCAAACGTCCCCAGTTCCCAGGGCTGTCAATCCCTTCCCTTCCCAGGGAATAAGGCGGCACAGTCGGATCCCCAGTTTGCTCACAAAGGCTGCCCACGGAACACACGCTCGGGAATCAACAAAATAACTGCACTTGGTCCCAAATCTCTCCTCAGATTGCTCTTGAACACAGCATTCCCAACCCTGCTCCTGGATCCAGGCAGAGCCCAGGAGGGCAGAGGGACCTCCCCTCCTCCCAAGGCAGGAGTTATCCAGCTGTTGGGGACCCCGGGATGCTCCATGGGGTGCTCACAGCCAAAGCCTGATTGCTGGAGGTGGGAGACTCCCCAGGAGGGATTTAAGGACACAGAGCAGCCACTGCTGCCCCTCAGAGCACCAGGGCCAGCAGGGAGGGGTTTCCCAAAGCCTCAATGTGGTTTTTCCAGCCATTCCAATCACAATCCCCCTCCCACTGCAGTTGCCTTTAGTGGTGCTTGGCCCAGCTAAACTCAGCCCAGCCTGATTCCTACTGGAATCCTCCTCTTCCCCTCACTTTGTGCACTCAAATAAGTTTTCACAAGTTCACTGTGCATTGTACAACCTAAAAGTGAAATAAAATATAGGAAATCCGTAAGTTTCCATCACATCTCCATAATATCAGCCTTTTGGAGGCTCTTTCTGTACACGAGTCACGACACAACCCCTGCCCTCGTGGGACAGTGGCAGCACAGCCAGGCAGAGCAGGGTGTTTTTGTGAACTACCAGTTCAAGACCTACTGAAAGCAGAGGAACACAAAAGCAAAATGCACTTGGTCAACAAATGTACAGGGCTAAGCCAGCTCAGAGTCAAGTATCAAAACCCTACCAACAAAACACTCGGAACAAAACCAGCAAGCCGGGGAAATCTGCCACCTGCAGCAGGACAGAAGCACAACGTTCAGAATTCCCAAGGCTGGGAAAAGGGCTGGACCAACACCAGTGATCACACACCCCCTGTTCACAGGCCCTAAGGGAGCGACCAGACTTAGCTACCAAAATTCACAGTGACCTGAGTGCCACCAGCACATGGCCCAGGGGAGGAGTTTGAAAGGGGCAGCACTTGGAATTCTCGTGTTCCAACCGTGCCCTGGAGCTCTTTGCCACCAACACAACTCAAACCCACCCAGCTGGCAGCACCTGGCTCAGTCCAAATCACCCCCAGGGAGGAGAAGTCCTTCCTCTGTCACTCACTCTGCTGCCAACCAGGTGGATTTTGGGATACAAACAGAGTCAGGGGAATAAATAAGCTGCAGGCCTTCCCAAAAACTGGGTTTGGCATTGGTCAACCCTCCAAATCAGCACCAAGGGTTCAAACTAGAGGCACAGTTCTGACGGACAAAATAGCACCGAGGAGGCTCTTTACATCTCTGCTGGTGTGCCAGTCCTTTAGTATTCAGAGAATTTAATAATAACTTGTGTTTATGAGTCTAGGTGGAATAAAATAAGTCAAAATTGTTTTCACTTTAAAAAAAGATAAATACTTTATCTAAACTATCAACAATACAAACTGGAGCTTTAAGCGTTTCTTTTGCCTTTTTCTTTTTTTTTTTCCTTTTTTTTTTTCTTTTTCTTTAACTCAGATTCACAGTAAATGTTTGCTCTGTTGTTTAGGTCTTTTTATGGTTTTTATTTTGTCCAGTAGTAAGAGAGTAGAAACCCCTGCACAGGCCAGGTGAGCACCTTTCAGTGGAAGCCGAGTGAAGTTGGTCCACGTTGTCCTTGCATAGGTCACATTGGGTTGAGGTAGAAATCCTAGTTACCTGCACAACAGGAGGAGAGGAAGAGACTCATCTAAATAAAAGACCAAAATCTGCTGTGTGTTAGATGTGTCAAGCATTTCTACACTGCTCCAAGGCCTCCTCAGCCAGCAAAGATGGAGCAGCTCTTGGCCCAATCCCCGTTAGATGAGAAGGATGGATGGATGTCCCAAGAGACACAGAGCCCTCCAAGTGGCAGTTTTTTGAGCTGACAGTGGGACTGTGTTGAACTCTGTCCCACGGGACTGACCTGGAGTGGGGGAGAGGATCCTCCCCCAGCACTTCACTGGTTGTGCCACACCTTCATCTGCTCTGGATTTTTTAATACCATGAGGGAGAAACTGAATCCCAGGCTGGTTTGGGTTGGGAGGGACCTTAAAGATCACCCAGTTTCAACCCCCTGCCTTGGGCACCTTCCACTATCCCAGGTTGCTCCAACCTGGCCTTGGACACTCCCAGGGATGGGGCAGCCACAGCTGCTCTGGGCAACCTGTGCCAGGGCCTCTCCACCCTCACAGCCAACAATTCCTTCCCAATATCCCATCTCACCCTGCCCTGTGGCACTGGGAAACCATTCCCCCTTGTCCTGTCCCTCCATCCCTTGTCCCAAGTCCCTCTCCAGCTCTCCTGGAGCCCCTTTAGGCTCTGGAAGGGGCTCTCAGCTCTCCCTGGAGCCTTCTCTTCTCCAGGTGAACCCCCCCAGCTCTCCCAGCCTGGCTCCAGGGCAGAGAAGCAAAGCAGGATATTTTAGCCCCCAATTCCAGATGCCAGCCTTGGTTCAGCAGGGCCTGAGCACGGATATTCCCTCCAAAACCAGCGGAACTGCTCCGACATGTGACCTGTGCTTGAGTCACAGGGAGCAGCATCACAGCCAGTCTGCCATCTCCGGAACCATCAGTTCTGCTCCCCTGCCCCACAGCCCAGCTTTGTCACCTACCTACTCTTCTCCATAAGCCATTTTTGTGCCTTGTCTATTATCCCCAATTTTTAGTGACTGGGACAATCTCGGCCTAGTCCAGCACGGCCTCATGCCCAGGGGTTCCCACTGCACAGAACCCCAAACCTGACCCTCCTCACCAGCCCCACCCTCACTTTTCCCCATCTTGTCTCTGTTCAGGGTCTTCCCCACCCCACACAGGCCCCACAGTCCTCAAAGCCCTTCCTCTCCTGGGGGGAAGGACAGGGAATACTTACGTGCCTCACAAAACCCCAGGGAGGCTTTGTGGTGCCTGTGGAGCAATTTGGTGAGGAAAACACTTATACACAATGCACAAAGAATCTCTCAGGTATATTGTAATCTTTATAAGCAGCAAAGAGTGTTTTCAACCACGTTTGTAGCTTTGGGATCAGTGGACACAACAACAGCACAGACCTACACGGAAAGCACGGAGCCAACCCCGGGGCCGGACAGGCTGGTGGCCCTTGGCAAGCACGAGTTGTTTGACAGCAGGATGCCCCAGATATCGTCAGGAACCACAGCCCCCAGCCCTGTGGTGGTACAGTTTATTCTGGAGTTGCTCTAGAGACAGTTAAACACCTGCTTCAGGAAGAACAGACACAGCCATGGAACCCTCCTCTCCTACGGCCTCTGTGTGGGGCACCCTGAGCGTTCCCTGAGTTCTCATCCCAGAGGTTGGGACACAGATGGAGCATCTGCTGAGCCTGTTCCTGGCAGCCCTGGCAGTGCCAGGGCATTCCCAGCCCTCCTGTGCTGCCCAGGGCAGGGACAGACTGCACTGCAAGCCCAGGGAATCTGCTCTCTGGAGCCTGACACCTGGAGATTTGGAACTTGAGGACTATTTTGAGCAGCTGCTGTTGACTGGCAGTGAAACCAAGACCACCACAGACAGGCCCAAAGTGCCACCACCGGACAAGTGTGGGACCAACTGCGTGTGGGAGGGTCAGAAGGGCAACCCCCACTGCCACCAACTCCATAAAACCACACCAAAACCAGACATTTCCTCCTGCCTGCTGATCCTCAGGCACAAACACTTCCACGAGGTGATCCCAACAATCCTGACCATGATCCTACAGTGCCAGAGCAGTTCCCCCTGTGAGCATTCCTTGTCGAGAAATCCTGACTGCCAGAGCACAGAGTGGCCACACTTCCCAGCCTCTGCCACCAGGTGACTTGCTTCCCACATTTCACATGGCTTTGGCCCATTTTAGAGGATTCTTCCCCCATTTTAGAGGATTCTTCCTCTGTTTTAGAGGTTTTTCTCCCCATTTCAGAGGATTCTACTCTCATTCTAGAAGTTTTCTCCCTATTTTAGAGGATTCTACTCCCATTTTAGAGGTTTTCTCCCTATTTTAGAGGATTCTTCCCAGTATAGAAGATTCTTCCCATTTTGGAGTTTTCTACCCCATTTTAGATGTTTCTTCCCCTGTTTTAGAGGATTCTTCTCCTGTTTTAGAGGTTTCTTCCCCCATTTTAGAGGCTTCTTTACCATTTTGGAGATTTCTTCCCATTTCAGAGGATTCTTCCTGTTTTAAAGGTTTTTCTCCCCATTTCAGAGGATTCTACTCCCATTTTAGAGGTTTTCTCCTCATTTTAGAGGACTCTCCCCATTTTAGAGATTTCTTCCCCATTTTAGATGTTTCTTCCCGTTTTAGAGGATTCTTCCCCCATTTTAGATGTTTTCCCCATTTTAGACAATTCTTCCTCTGTTTTACACATTTCTTTCCATTTTAGAGGCTTTCCCCCCATTTTAGAGAATTCATCATCTGTTTCACAGGTTTCCCTCCCATTTTAGAGGATTCTTGCCCCACTTCAGAGGATTTTTTCCCCAATTTTGGAGGATCCTTGCCCCATTTTACAGGATTCTTCCTGTTTTAGAGGTTTTCTCCCCATTTTAGAGGATCCTTCCCATTGTAGAAGTTTCTTCCCATTTTGAACATTTCTTCCCTATTTTAGATGTTTCTTCCCCTGTTTTAGAGGTTTCTTCCCCATTTTACAGGATTCTTCCCATTTTAGAGGTTTTCTCCCTATTTTAGAGAATTCTTTCCCCGTTCCAGGTTCCTTCCCTTTATAGACGCTTCTTCCCATTTTAGGGGATTCTTCCCTCATTTTAGAGGATTCTTCCCTCATTT